GCCGCTTCGCCTGTGACCGGGGAAGGCTTGAGGTTTGTTGTTGTTCAGCATAAGCGAGGATCAAGCGAGTCATGCACGTTGCATGGAGGCTCCCTCCCGTTATTGGGGTAGCAGCCATTCAGAGCGGGATGGCGTCTGTTTGTGGGTGGATGGGCTGATTTGAACCACTCTCCCGGGAATGGGAAGTCGGGGATTGGTGTCACCGCTCATTGGCACAGACTCAGATTTTGCCGGGCGGCTTGAGATCTGTTGCTTGCTTGCAGGATCTCATCGAGGAGTTCATTTGTCGATTTCTCTGATGGAAGGTATTCGCATGTGGACAAGTACCCAAGTTTTGTCTTTGCTGTATTCACGGAGTTCGGTCATTGGCGTTGGGGACAACCGGTTACTGGTAAACAACACAGCGAGCAGGGAGTACAGGTAGATATGTAATTACAAGATATGAAAATGATAATATGTAAAACACAAGGCTGTACCATGATGTGAAAGTAGTGATCGAAGTCCAAGACTCGAAGTGGTGTATCTACAGTAGCCAATCCAACAAGGTGAACATTGAAGTCAACGACCCTTGCATTATTGATGCATTTGTCGTCGAGGAAACAAAGTGCCCCTGCAGATTATGCAGCCCCTTTATGCCATGCAGGGTATCAAGCCATACAATGAATGCTGTAGCTTCCAGGGGCATGCATTCACAAAAGACTCTATTCTGTACAAATAACGCCAATGTATATGTAGGTGAACAAAATTGCTTTGCAACATAAAGTCATGAACCCCTCGCTCGTTTGAGTCGTTGCTTCGCTAGGCCGGTAGGTGCAATGGCTCCGGTCTTGGGTCTCGACCCGGACACTTGGTGACTCTCGCTCATGCAGCTTCCAGTTCTCGATTTTGAGACGCAGACTTGATACATTATCAATATGGCCCATTTGTGTTGTTTGACCGACGTCAAACTTGAGTTGCGACAACAACGACTGCATGTACGTAAAGCGGCTAACGAGTGTGGCGGGGGTCACAGAAGACTTCTAGAAGATGATGGATTTGGGGGCGCCAGTCTAGCGACGCTGCCGGCAACTTCAACTTCGATGACATGCACAGACATGAGACAACAGAGAGGGTAAGGTACATATGGGTATTTCGTGGGTAAATGCGAGACTGCTTTTTCACACGAAGGCCAAGGAGTTGTTCCTGTTTTCTTTATAAAAGTCGAATACAACTGCAGGTACCCTAAATCATCATCATTTCATCACATTTCATCACATTACGTCGTACAAGCCGTCATGACCATCGCCATGTCCATGTCCTCCATGGTCCTTCAGACTCAAGAGTCCTCCATGCCCGTACAGTCAGTAAACTGAAAGCTCAACGCTCAACGCTCAATCATCTAGCCCCAAAGCACAACATGAACACCAAACTCTCACTCGACCTCCAAACACACTTTCCACAGTCCCACTCACCAAGAACTCAAACCTCAACCTCAACCTCATCCATATTCCTCAAAAACATCCAAAACCACTTAACACCATTAACATGTCCCCGCACACTAACTCTTTCGTTCACAGTATGAATGCTCCCTAACCCGGCCTCATCATCCTCACTATCATACCCCGGCCCCCACCGAAAGATATGTCTCGTCAAGCCCCAGTAATATCTCGTATCGGTATTACCAGTCATTATCCCCGGCGTGACGATTACTTCCTCCCCGTACAGCGCGCGGGTGGTGCCTGCCAGGACGGAAAAGGGGGTGTGGCCGCCGGAGGAAGAGTGCGGGGAGGATGGGGAGACGGGGGCGACGAGCAACTCGTGGTCTGATTTGGTGAGGATTATGGAGTTTGCGGGCTCAATGGAAGAAGAAGAGGAAGAGGACTCGAAGGCGTGGAGGGAGAGGTTATGTTTCTTGGCGACGTGTCCCGCAAGTTTCGTGAGGCGGTCGTAGACAACCTGCGGTGTCTCGCCGATGTTGATTCTGTGATTCACCGTCACGCGCACGCGTTCTGGCAAGGCGTTGGTCTTGATTCCACCGGTGATGACGTCGACGGCTTGAGAGGTTTGCATGAGGTACTTGATTGCAGGACCACCCTCGCGTGCGGCTTCGACGGCTAGGTAATCGGGTTTTGCCTTGCAGATTTCGGCCCCCTTGGTGTGGCGGTGGGCAAGCAACTTCTTCAGCTTGTGCGAAAACTCAGGCGAATGGGCCGCGCCGCATTGCAGTTGCGTGAAATACGGATTTTCTTCCTTAAGATGGGTGCGGTACTGCTCCGCTTCGATTTTGGTAATCAATTCACTCAAAACGCCAATGCTGGTGTGATCTGAAGGAATCGAGGAATGTCCGCCGGGCATGCGCACGGTGATGTAAACGTCCGTGTATCCCTTCTCTGCCGTTCCCGGTTTAGCAAACAGCGTCCCCCACGTCTTTTCGAACCCGGCGCCTTCGTCGACGATCACAGCCAGCGAGTCCTTGCCGTACCGGTCTTCGATGAATTTGCTCAGCGAAGCGGCGCCTTGACGGCCCGAACACTCCTCATCGAAACCGAACGAGAGCAAAATCGTGCGCTTGGGCTCCCACCCGTTTTCGAGCAGCAGCTCGACGGTCTCCATGATGGCGATTAACTGGTTCTTGCAATCGCCTGCGCCGCGACCCCAGATGTACTTCCCGTCGAACTCACCGGACCAAGGCGGGTGCGTCCAGGCTGGGATTGTCTCGGGCGGCACGGGCACGGTGTCTTGGTGCGCCATGAGCAAAGTCGGCTTGAGATCCTTGTTGGATCCTTCCCACGTGTACAGCAGGCCGTGGGTGTTGACCTTGTCGACTTGCAGCTTTGAGTGGATCAGGGGAAAGGTCTTCTTGAGGTAGGCGGCGAAGTCGTAGAAGACGTCCCAGCGGGGATCTTCGCCAATGGCGCCGAGGTCGTCGAAGGACTCGGACTTAACGCGCACGGCGCCGGAGAGGCGGGCGACCGAGGCGTTGAGAAATTTGTCGGTGGAGAGAAAGGCGTAGGCTTTGTCGAGGGCGTCATTTTTGCTAGGGTTGAGTGGGGAGGGCTGCACGCATTGGGAGGCGAAGTTGACGTCTGCGCCGCCGCGGGTGAGCGCAGAGGGGAGGACGGACTGGTTGGTGTTCCAGACGTAGAGGGCGTAGAGGGGAAGACCGAGAGCAAGCGCTTTGGCAATGGTCTTGAAGGAGTTGCAGCGGGTGGTGTTGCATGTCGGGGCCGGCGTGGGCGTGTGGGCCACCGGGAGAGAGATGCCTTTCTCCATGGTTGTGGTCGATGATGATGATGATGTCCTTCGTGATCGAAAGACGATTGGAACTGGAGGTTATCAAACAATCATGAGTTGTTGGGGAATGACGCAGGATATAAATTGGAACCGATTGGTAGTCGCGGGTGATGGTCTTGACGCTGACACCGGACTCAGACCGGGATTGCCGAGTCAATGGTTGACACCTCCTGGATTCGGAATGGCGCGGGTTGTTGTATCTGGTCGTTAAAAGCGGGGATTGCGATGCGGAGCTGTTGCCCCCCCCACCCCACTGTTTGTTCCGGGAACGGGGAGCCGAATTAGTGGTGGGCCGTTCTTGGGGGAATTGGCAAATGCCGTCATCCGGGAATACCACACGGGATGGAGATGAATCGACGGTCTCGGGCTCTTCAAGAGAGTATAAATTCATGGACGTGCAGATGATGAAGAGTTGCACGAGGGAATGGCTCACCTTTCTGCTCTGACGCCTCAGCTGGTCTTCTTGTTTTTCGGATGAACCATTGCAAAAAAGTACCGCCGAACGGTCCGCTATGTGCTACGCCAACACCAGAGCACGTTATACACAATACAACCGGCCGGTAGGTATTGTGATGTAATATCCGTCCAAACGGCGCACATGTATTACATATAACTTCACATTTGAAACAGATGTCGTCAAAATGGGTTTTCCTTATTAACTTTTCTTGCCTCTCCGGCTACCTATTCTGTTGTTGGTAGTCACATATTTCCAGACTCCGTCCGGATGTCGTTACGATTTGTTTGTCATTTCATAAGCTGGACTCCTGAACCTAAAATGCATCAACAGGCGCCAGTGGTTTAGTGGTAAAATCCATCGTTGCCATCGATGGGCCCCGCGTTCGATTCGCGGCTGGCGCAAATTGGAATTCTTTTTTTTGCATTTTTCTGAGATTATTCCGGGATCATGGGTGTTTGTTTGTTTCCTGACTCGGTTGTTTATTTTGGTTTCACTTCCCGAGACGCACCATAAACTTTGAGATACGCACTCCCACAGATAAATATGGAGATTTATAGGGCTCTTTTCACCCGCTAAATCTGGTAACTTAAATAACACGTAACATCTCCCATAACGCCGCGAAATTTCTGCACTTTTACAACACTTTCGAACTTTGCGATTGAGTAGGAGAGTAGGAGCGCAGGAGCGCAGGAGCGCAGGAGGCGGGAGGGTAGGAGGCGGGAAGGCAGGAGGCGGCGCCCGTCGAAATATCGTCGTTTGAACCATTAGAGCTACCAAATATGAGCGACTTCAAGTAGATAATATACGCTATTCTAAACCCCTCAACACTATAAAAGTATCACCAGCTTATTGGCCATAACCGACTGCCCGCTAAACACAACAGGATTTACAGGGCTCTTGTAGTGGATGGCTACATCTGAATGATTTTCACCGCCAAAACCAGCTAAATTACATGACAGCTGCCATATTTTTGGGGGTGCGTACCTCAAAGTTTCTGGTGCGTCTCGGGAAGTTAACCTTTATTTATTTGGCTGCCAGTTACACGGTCACACCCACTGACTTTAATCTGAAGAGTGAACTTCTTTTGTGTGTATCAAGTATATTTGTCTTCAAGCTTTCTCGTGTGATCAGCGAGTTATTTCAAGGCTTAAATGCCTCGAAAAGATGACACAATGTCTAAAGTCGTGCCAAAACCGAATTACCTGCGTCCAGAATGCGTCCCGTCTTTTCCATATCCTCGAACCGAACACCGAAAAATGCAGCAATGCTACGCTGAAAAAGCAACGAAAGCAATTGGGTATCATCAACGCCTGCCCCTAATCTCCTTCCCCTCCAAACCAGACTCAAGCCGTAGAAGGCGCAGGGCCCTGCACCTGTCCCTCCGCATCCCTCAACACCCTCTCCCTCTCCATCTGCTCCTGCCTCTGTCTCTCCGCCTTGGCCTCCTCCCTCCACTTCTCGACCCTCCATCTCATGCCCCTCTTCATCAGCACCACCAACAGCGGCGAAAAGCCCACATACAGCACACCGAAGATTGTGTACGCCCATCCACTACCGATACCATTGACCATTGGCAAGATAACCGCACTGCTCGCCGCTCCCAGCAAACACCTCGTCAAGTTGTTCGCCGCCGTGGCAGCACCGGCCTTGCCAGGGTAGATATCCGCGATCAACGTGTTGACGCTGTTGTTGAAACCGATCATGCCAATTCCCAGCAAGAACAACAAGACACACGGTGCCGCCAGACTCGCCTTGCTCTGCATCGCCCAGCCCCACGAAATTATCACGGCGCTGGTGAGCGCGAGCAGCGGTAGGCCCACCTCCAATCTGGCTCGCTCGATGGGAAAGTAAGTGAGGTCTGCCTGGCGAGTTCTGTCGACAACAACACCGAGACGCCTGGCATGGCGGTGGTAGTTCCACGTGATGACGCTGCCAATAGCAAAGGCGGTCACAATGGAGCCACCGGCCATGGGTAGATACATGAGGCCAATTTGCACATCGCTGAGGCCGTAGAGGGTCGATAGCTGGTTAGGCATTGCCGTGCCAATGGCGTAGAAGCCCGAGAAGACGATGGCGGAGTAACATAGCAGGATAGCGAGCTCTTTATCGCGGAAGAGAAGAGTGAGAGACTCGAGGAGGTTGGGCGGCGTGAGGCGGAGTTTGATCTTCTGGCGAGGAGCAGAGACGGTAGAAATGGTGCGGTGTAGACCACCTTCGTGAAGCGTGATATCTCCCTTAATGATCTCAGCATCACGACGCTGGCGCTCACGGTGACGTTGACGACGGGCTAGCTTGTCGCGAAGAAGTTGCCATCCTGTCCAGTATATCCAGTGCGACTCCTTGCGGCCGCTGCCATCGCCGACGATCTTGCGACAGGTCTCGGGGAAGAACATGATCATCGCGAGTAGGTTGACGCTGGCCATGATGGTTAGCAACCAGAAGATCCAGCGCCAGCCGAGATAGTTGGTCAAGAGACCGCCTAGGACCGGACCGAGACTGGGAGCTAGGACTGTGGGAATCGAAGTGATGCCGATGTAGTGTCCACGTTCGGCGCTGGTGGTGATATCGGCTAAGGTAGCCTGGCAGAGAGCGACAGTGGTGCTTGAACCCGCGCTCTGCAACATGCGAAGAACGAGGAGACTGGTAAAGTTCTTGCTCAATGCCAGACCGATGTTGGCTCCGATGTAGATAATGAAGCAGATAACGTAGGCAGGACGACGGCCAGCTGAATCTGCCAAACCACCAAGGAACATGGGAGTGATGCCCTGAAAGATCATGTATGTGGTGACGGTCAAGTTCACCTTGGTTGCGGTGATGTTGAACTCGTCAGCCAGGGTAGGAAGCGCTGGGAGGTAGATCTGCGCCGTGAGGGGCGAGAAGAAGGCCGAAATAGAAGCGGCGAAGATGATGAGGCGCTTTGCCCAGGTCGAATAGATTGAGTGCTTGGGAGGCTGCTCGATCACGATGGTGGGAGCTTCACTTTGGGGCTCGCCGGTCAGGAGCGGCGCGGGCTCAGCTGGAATAGGTACGATTGTTGTCTGCTCGGGGATCGGAGCCAATCGTTCGCGATGTCCAGGTTGCTCTTGCTTCCTCTCGTTGGCGCCATCGTCCTGATCATGGCTAGATTCTTGCTCATCGTCAATCTTGGGTTGGCTCTCCTGTTGATCTGCCTGCGACGAGAGAGCGTTGGTTGAGTTCCGAGTGGGAGTTTTCGAGGCAGTCGCCGTCGAGGAGGACTCGCGCGCGCCTTTCTCGTCTTGATTCATCTCTGGCTCAGCCATTGCGCTTTCTCCTTGGTCGTAGCCGATGAAGACAACGCGGTACTGTGCTCAAACACTGGCGACGAGTGTGTGTTGTGGAAGAGAGAAGGTGTGTCTCGAGAGCCGAAGATATTGAAAGTTGGCCCAGGAAACTGGGACCTCAAATTCTGCTCGTCAGAGGAGTATCGAGGGAGAACTGCTTTCAACTTTGGAGGGTTAACGAAGGAAGTCAAGACCGGGACGAGAAATTCAGGGTGGAGTAAAGGACAGTGAGGGTCCGGTGTTGAGACGTAGAGGTAGATGCCTGCCGGCAATTTGGAACTTGGATCCGGTCGAAGGCGGTGACCACCTCATGACGGGAAGGAACAGCTGCAGTTGTATCGTATCGTGTCGAGCCTTTTGCGCTGTATGGGTTCTGAAGAGGGAAGGAGCGATTTCTGATGCATCTGCATCTTTGACACTCCTTCACCGGTCTAGGTCAGTGATCGACCGATGATACATGAGTGGCTGACACTTTGCTGTGGGAAACCGTTTTGAGTTTGCCGACAAGCCAACCGCAGGATGAAGTGTGACGGATTCGAAAGATAGACATATATCAGAATCCTTTCTGATCACCACTTGTTCACGCCAGCTCGGTTCCGAAAGTGGACTTCGAGGTTGTTGATTCTGGACTTGAACATTGAACTGGACCCTGAATAGTCGTGGATCCGACCATCAATAATTCGTCGTTATCTCCACTGACGGCGTGGCAAAGTGAGCTCCGCCGGCCGAGAAGCTGAAGCATGATCCTGGATTCCGATCCCACCGGCAGTCCGGCACCGTGACGGCAGTGGGGCCGCGATGATGAAATATTTGGAGTGGTTGGTGTCCACGTCCGAGCGGCCTGCAGTGTCGGTGCCGCATCGGCTATGGACTTTGTAGCTTGTGAGTTCATCCCTGGCCACCACATCCATTCTTGTCCAACGTTGCCAGATTGTGTCGGTTGCGTTGTATGTTTCATGGTTTTCTGGAAGAGGGTATTGTGAACTTTATAGCAAGTCCCGACATGTGAAACTAGTTGAAAAAGGGAACGGGTGTCATGGCAAGCGGAGACTATGACCTTGCCAACTTGTGGCACCCCTGTAGACAATTGATGGGCTTTGGCAAAGTGCCCGAAAGAGACATTGTTTCTGGTATCAACGCCAGGACCTCCGTCGGATACATATACTCATATCCTAACTTCTAGACCAATGCTGACGACATGGCCTGGAGTTTGAGTCTGTTTTGCTCCGTGTTTGATCCAGATAGAAATGAAGAGTCACTCACCGCCAAGACCCATGTTACAAGGATGATGGTACGCGAAAAGGCATCAACATGAAAACATTTGACAGAATAGAGGCAGAAGGGAAGAGATGCGTGGATGGTCAATAGGAACCAGCGAAGCCAATGTAACTCCCATTTCGTACCGTATGCTCTGATCTGTGGTGGATCGTGAACTGTCCACTTGACTGACCTCCTTGTGTACGGTAACCATTCCGGAAGAAGAGCCGGAGCACACGGAGGTCGGAGACCGGATCGGGATTCGGGGCCTGGGGCCAAGAATAAATGGTGGAAGTCTCGGCGGTCGTTATCGCATCCAAGTTCAATGGTCCCATAGGATTGGCGGTAGAAGAATTGGGGCCTGATGATGATATTCGGAACTGATGCCGCTGCCGATATCGAAATTGACGTCGCTGTCGACTGGATATCGGAAGTGGAAGTTGGTGACGGGGAAGGGAAAGACTCGGGTCGCTAAGAGCTCAGGTGCCGTTGATAAGCGAGAAGGGGTACATAGCGGGGGTTCCCCGCACTGTAATCCAGGCCTGAAATTGGGGCAATTGGGGTAATTCAGCGTCTGCCAGCAGCTGCCGGCCACTGTCATCTGCGCTGTAAACACCATCCTTATCGGCGGTCCTATCAAAATGCGGGATAATAGACACATGATCGCCAATCCCCAGAGATAACCCCAACACGGTTTAACGCTAGAATACGTGGACGGTGAGGTCCATGAGGTGATGTTTCAAGTCCATCCATCGTGGTTCCCTCTTTGACCGTTTGCTCCCCTTCGAGTCCTTCTCTCATACCATCTGGCTCCCATTGTCATCAGCATCGCCAATTCACCATCATCAGACCTTCAATTTCAACACCACCACTCTCTTTAATCCCGCTTATACGGGACACAACTACCTACACCTATAACTGCCCTATAATAATACCCTCCGTGTTATCGCATACTACTCGTCACGCCTAATTCCAATCGCCATGTCCGCCGACAACCAGAAGCCGAAACAACCTGCGGCCGAGGATGGCTTCTGGCACAACGGCAACTTCTTTGCCTGGGCACCTCCAGTTACCAAACCTCCACCGGCACGGATTCCCACTCGACTTGTAGTAGCAGCCATTCTACATGACCCTACAAAAGATGTAGAGGTAGTTACAGAAAGCACAACAAAGGCTCTCGAGAAAGCCACCACCACCGCCGCCGAGGTTCCTGCTCTTCGCCCAGCCACCGACACTGTCATCCCAGTTCCGACTCCCAATCAACAGCCCGAGTCCACAAGCACATCGCAAACAACCGAGTCAAAACCAGAGACAACCACCTTTGTCTCACACAACGGCCACACCTTTGCTTGGGCGCCCGCCGTCACAAACAACGTCAGCCAGACCGTGCAACTACGACCACTTCCCAGCCATCTGCTCCAACCATTCAACCCACCCCCGAGCATAGCTTCTCGCACAATGGCCATTCGTATGCCTGGGCTACGAGAGAGTGTTTGGATTGGACGCATCATCATCATCATCATCATTACATCATCATCATCATCATCATCATCTGTGACAAAACAACAGTCAGAGCCTCAGTCGAAACCAGACACCAATATGATCGACGATTTCTCTCACAACGGTCACTCCTTTGCATGGGCCTCATCCGAGACCACACGCCAGTCGGATTCCAGGTCGTTGATGCCGGCCATGATGACGTCGAAGCTGGTGACTGCAAAGTTGGAGCAAATCCGACAAAGAATGGCAGAACGTCCTGAAGCCGACATAGGGGCTTTGGACGCCGCATTGTCCCGTGCCACAAATTCTTCGCAACAAGTAAACGAGTGGAGGAAGACGTGGCTGGACGAACTTGTACGAAAGTCACATACAGAGCCCAAGCGAAAAAGGCTGGATCTTCAGCAAGAAGCGCTGGATATTCAGCAAGAAGCGATGTGTCTTCAGCGAGAGGCGCAGGGCAGAGCTGGAATTCCTATTTCGACATATCCACCACCGCAGTCGCACCCTCTGCAGCTCCTAAGCAGCCCGCCCAAACTTTTCAAAGACTTTCAGGGTGAACTTGCCGTGGCCCGACGCCTAGCAGTATCCAGCATCACTCGCAGTCAAGATTTCAGCAGCTGTCGTATTGATGATGATCTTCACGAAGAACTTCGCAACCTTCGTACCATACCAACCAGGACAATGGGCGAGCGCCGCCCGTTATCTCGCTCTTACCCCCAGCACCAGGCCGCCCCAGTCCAGGACTGGATCGCCCAACAGACAGCCTTCGAGCCACTCCCCAGCAATGTCACCGCCGAGCCTCCCAAAGACCTTCCTAGCCGATATTCCTTCGACAACAAGATCGACAAACCCCAAGGCGATGTTCCCAGTCGATACTCCTTCACGGCCGATCCTGTCGCGAACCCGAAATCAGTTGTCCAAGGCCAAGGCCACAAAGGTCATTATCGCTTCAGCGTTCTCACCGATAAGCTTGTTCGATTCGAGTGGTCCCAAGACGGCGGCTTCGAAGACCGCGCTTCCACAACGGCATTCTTCAGGTCTTTCCCTACCCCCGAGTTTCAGGTCGACGAGAACAAAGACAAACTGGAGATCGTAACAAAATACTTCCACCTGAGCTACGACAAGAACCAGTTCTCGTCTGACGGTCTGACGGTCAAGGCTGGAAACGATGTCTGGCACTACGACGGCAAGAGCTATGGCGATCTGGGCGGCACTGCAAGAACTCTGGACCGGGCCGACGGGCGCATCCCTCTCGAGCCGGGTGTCTTGTCTCGCAAAGCCTACGCCGTGCTCGACGACAGCGCCTCCATGCTGTTCGAAGACGGTTGGATTGCCACCAGGAAACCTGGCCGCAAGGATGGCTATCTCTTTGCCTACCACGGGGATCACAAAGCAGCCATCAAGGACTTTTACCGTCTCTCGGGCGGCCAGCCGTTGCTTCCTCGCTGGGCTCTAGGAAACTGGTGGTCTAGATACCATGCCTACTCAGACAAGGAATATTTGGCGCTCATGAAGAGGTTCGCAAATGAGAATATCCCCCTCAACGTTGCCGTCATCGACATGGACTGGCACAAGGTCAACATTCCTTCCAAGTACGGCTCCGGATGGACAGGTTATAGCTGGAATCCCGACTTGTTCCCGTTCCCAGAGAACTTCCTCGACAGTCTCCATAGCATGGGTCTCAAGGCCACCGTCAATGATCATCCGGCCGACGGAATCCGCGCCTTTGAGGACCAGTACAAAGTTGTGGCCAAGGCCCTGGGTCACGACATTTCAAAGGAAGAACCGATTCGCTTTGATTGCACCGACAAAAAGTTCCTCGACGCTTACTTTGATGTCCTCAAGGCCAACTTGGAGGAAGAGGGCATCGACTTTTGGTGGATTGACTGGCAACAGGGCAACCGATCGCGCATTCCGGGTGTTGACCCCCTCTGGGTGCTCAACCACTACCATTACCTCACCAGCCGTCGCAACGTCAAGACTACAGCGACGCCCATCACCTTCTCCCGATACGCCGGCGCCGGCTCCCATCGCTACCCCATTGGCTTCTCTGGCGACACCCTCATCACCTGGGCTTCGTTGCAATTCCAGCCCGAGTTCACAGCGACAGCATCCAACATTGGCTATGGCTGGTGGAGTCACGACATCGGCGGCCATTACGCTGGTGTGCGCTCCAACGAGCTGACGACACGCTGGGTCCAGTTCGGCTGCTTCTCGCCCATCTTGCGACTGCACTCGGAGAAGAGCCAGTGGAACTCGAAGGAGCCATGGCTGTACGAACCCGAAGCCCGCAAGGTGATGACCGAGTACCTCCAACTTCGCTACCGCCTCATCCCGTTCCTCTACACCATGAACGTGCGCGCTTGCTACGAATCCGAGCCCCTCATGCAGCCCATGTACTGGAATCACAAGGACGAAGAGGCCTACACGGTGCCCAATCAGTACTACTTTGGTCCAGACCTGATCGTGGCCCCGATCACCACGCCAAACGATTCGTCCACCCTCATGGGTAGCGTCCGCGCCTGGCTCCCGGATACCGGCCGTCGGTACATTGACATTCGCCATCCCAGTCTCGTCTACGACGGAGGCCGCTACGTGGACGTTCACCGTCCTCTGTCGGAGATCCCGGTTTTTGCCAGGGAGGGAACCATCATCCCGCTGGACACGGCCAGATCTTCAGGATACCGTAAACACGGCGTCACCAGGCCCCGTTCAATCACCATCCAGCTTGTCGTCGGCGCGGACGCCTACTTTGAGCTCGTTGAGGAGCCAACCGATGCTGTCCCGGCGGCACAGGCGGACCGCCCTGATCCGTCCACCTTTGTCCGTACCCCGATCCGCTGGAACCAGAAGGAGGGCATCCTCACCATCGGGCCAGAGGTCAACGGGAAGGGTGAGAATCGGACGTGGACGCTTGAGTTGCTGGGTCACACCGAGAGAATGAACCCGGACATTTATGGAGAAGACGATGACGTGGACGATGAAGCTTCTACAAGCGACCCAGATGCCGGTCGAAACCAAACGGAGCGAGCCCAACGAAAACGCCGGAGAGATATACTGCGCAACACCGCTCTCCCGGGTGTCGTCCACGACCCCAGCCTCGCGGCGTTCATTCCTGGTTACGGACCGGAACCACATGCTGAGCATAGTACCAGGCTGCACTTGGGTACCACTGGCACCAAGCCCGGAATGTTGAGCTTTTTTCAGATGCAGAGTATGTTGGCCGCCCGCGCCCCCTCGCAGCAGTCGCAGGGCAATAACGCCCACACGAATATGATGTCTGCCGACGAAGGCATCAACCAAAACGAGAGCCAGAGCCAGAACCCATTCCAGACCCAAACCCAGACCCAGGACAAGAACGGCCAAACCCCGCCGGAAAAGCCCAACAAGGCTCAGGAGCAGCTCGTGTGCAAGCTCGGCAAGAACCTCCAGCTGGACGTGGTTGATATTCACGCTAGGTTGCATCACATGCTCTACAGGTGCGAGATGGAGTACCCGATGAAGCAGATCATTCTTGACCTTGTGACGAGGGATGGGGGGGCACCGGTGAAGGAGAGGGTGGAGAGGTTGTGGAAGATGGGAAATGTGCCGGAGAGCGTCAAGAGCGCGGTGATGGAGATTTGGGCGGCTGATTCGAGGAGTAAGGGGAGTGCGGCTGGGGTTGTTTACTTGAAGGGGGGTGAGGTGTTTCAGGGTGCGTTGGGTGCTCAGGTGGAAGGGGAGAAGAATGATGATGAAGCGGAGGTGGTGGTAAAGGAGCGGGACTCGGGAAGCGAAAAGGAGTGGGAGGAGGACGTTAGGAGCGAGCAGAGTTATGAGTTTGTTTGAGTGAAAGGAATGTGGTGGTGACTGTGGTGGTCATGAATGGATAAGGTAACGGATTGGTGGCCCTGAAGTTGATGACGTTGATGATGGATGAGCAAGGTGTCGGCTTGTTAATGAGACCATGACCTAATGACCTACCTGTGGGTATGATGCTTTTTAAAGACTGGCATGGTTGGATGCCTTGCATTTGGCGTTGCTTTGGGATGGATTTTGGTGTTTTTATTGCTTTCACTTTAAGGTAGTTTACCCCTTGAATTTCAGATTGAACTTGAACTTGAACTGTTTCCACACGAGGACTACGTAGTACCTAGAGGTATTTTGTTGAACTTGCCTTGCTGCCACTGTTGTTTAGGGTGTTCATGTTCCTGTCCTTTCTAACCATTGCACTAACAATTTCCACTAACCACTCTGTAGCTATCACCACTAGGGACACCCTGCCGGTCTCACCCTGCTGCCCGCCACGCTTCCTGCGGGGTCAGGGAACGGTCCGCTTGCCTTATCGGCGGAGGTGGTGCCGCGGCTCCATATGCGTCTTTGATAGGTGGATCACATGTGGGGATTGTCCCGACTTCCTCCTTGATCCCTAACCCTCGTGGCTTTTGTTCCCTCCGTCGTCCCATGTCCAATGTCCAACCGATCGTTACCACGATGACATTGCAGCCGACAGCTTGCGGCACAGGGCGATCGATTGGAAATATCGGCCTGTATAACTTGAAGCGGACATATCCCCGACAGGTTTCCGACAGGCATCATCTGCGACATCATCTTGGACCTGACAGCTCGACCCCCATCTCACTCACCTCATCCCGACTTGTTGTTCTCATTGCATACACATTACACAGCATACATCAGACAGCATCTTATAACAGTAGAAGCAGCAATTCCTTTGAGCTCATCACCAATCACTCGCCATGGCCGCCATAACCACCGCCGTCGACACCGCCGGCCCAACCGGCTCCGAGGAAGTCCATGTCGCCCCCTCCCTTCCACTCACCACTAAGCTCAAGTACGGCGCCGCAGCATACGCCATCACCAAGCTCATCATGAATCCCGTCAACTTCATCAACGGCATTAAGACCGACTACTTCGGCTCTTCCCCAAACAAGCCAGATGTCATCAAGGCGTTCCCTTCTAGGCCGCAGTTGCCTGTTCGGTATGTCGCTCTCTCCCGCTTCCTCATCGTCTGGCCTTTTAGTTGTGTACTCGAAAGACTGACGAACAAACAGCGTTTTCCTCCCCAAGTCTCACTCGCCCTCAAACCCTGAGCACTCCAAGGAGAAACTCCCAACCCTCCTCACCATCCATGGCGGTGGCTTCGTCGTCGGCTCACCCTACGACAACGACGGCTGGAACCGCCGCTTCGTCCAACGCGCCGAAGAAGCCGGTACCCCCTTCTGCGTGATTTCCCTCGACTACCGCAAAGCCCCCTCTTATCCCTTTCCCACAGCGATCCACGATCTCAAGGCCGTCATCTTGGACCTTCTCAGCGTCTCTTCTACCGCAGACCATGCACAGAAACACAACGACCTGCCAGTCGACACCAACCGCGTCGCCATCTCCGGCTGGTCCGCCGGCGGAAACCTAGCAATGGTCGTCTCCCAACTCCCCGACATCAAGCCGCTGATCAAGGCGGTAGTACCCTTCTACCCCGTCCTCGACTTCGTCACCCCCTCTGCGCTCAAGTGCAAATCCCGTCGGTACAAGCCGGCACTAGGTGGCTTCAGAGCAAAGGACACAGACTTTCTGATGAGCATGGCAGGCATGTTCAACTGGTAAAATGTCCGATCCGTTGCTCAGCCCGCTTTACGCGCTCGAGGACTACGAGGACGAAAACCCGTGGGTTAAAGGACGGGACAATTTCCCGCCAAGCGTGTTTATTGTGGCTTGCGAGCTGGACATGTTGGGCGGCGAAGGGTGGCGGATGGCGTGTAAACTGGCGGGGAAGAAGGTGCCGGGGGTGGAGGAGGTGTTGGGACGGGAGGAACCTCATGATTTTAGGAGAAATGGGTTGTTGGAGTTTGAGGATGAAAAGTTCCATTGGAACGAAAGCGTGGATTGAAGGCAATGGAAAGAAGTGGAGGTATAGGTGGCTGTTGGTGCCAGATGTTGTGCATGGATATGATCAGGATAATATCGGAACGATTATGAGGGATGAGGAGGCGGTTAGGGACGGGCTGGAGAAGAGGGAGAAGGTCATGGAGGAGGTTAGGCAGTGGTTGTTGGATGGGGCTTTGTGAGCAGCAGTTTTGGAGTTGGCGAGTTGGCGAGTTGGTGAGTCTGGCGTTGTGATTCGGAGAGGTTATGATGTTCTCCTTTATCCTCGTCCGCCGAATCCGAACGGTTGATCGAACCTCTAATACTAGGTCGAAGGGCGACCCTGCTGATTAATCCCAGGTGCAACGGAGATTGCGTCCCCTCGATGTGTGCACATGAAGACAGATCACCTGTTATCGACCGTCCGGTTGTTACCACCTTCAGCCCCTTGTGGAATCAGTGTCTCGCCCCGGCAACCTGAACTTTCCCCGCTAGATTTCTTTGACCTCGGCCGTGACATCGACCTCACGGACACCAGAGAGATATTAACAACCGCCAACTCATGTTTCCGTCAAAGAGACAAGACAATGAAACGCCCAGATACACCTCCCTTTGCGGCAACTTTGTGAGACGCTACTTGACAAACTCGATCAAAGAGCATGGACATCTTGAAACGGAGCTGGGACAGCAGGACGGTTATCGACCCAATGAGATGGCTCCGGACTGGAGCTGCCACCGCCAACGTGTCGATGTCTCGATGCAACAAGAGTAAACCATCCCATCGTTGGCTCATGATGTGTTGGTGTTGGACGCCGCTCCATAAATGGATGAACCAACCAGGCTATGGAGGAGGTCGGAATGGGAGCCAAGGGAGGATAAAAGCTTCTTCATTTCCCCCTTCGGGAAAGCTGGTTTGGTTTGCATCACCAACTGCGCACTACCAAGCAAGCGGCCCCCAATATTACCATACACTAGTCCCTCCCTTTGCCGGAATTAGTTATCGACTAGATCAAACAATCCTTCAACACGATGCTGGTCATCAAGACAGCGGCACTGGTTGACCTTTCCTTCTGTTCGCTCCTTGTGGATGCTGCTGGTTATAAGAACGTGGTGTATTTCACCAACTGGTACGCTCCCTTCCTCTAATGCCCTCTCCAGTATAAGACCGATACCTGGATGCAACCGCCTTCTCGACAGACGAAGAGGCTGATACTAATAAGCACTATCCTGGTGATTGTAGGTCGTCCTCCTTCTCTCTCTCCTCTTTACCCTCCTTCTATCCTTGCCTTTCTCCTTCCGTCTCCTTCCCACTCTCTTTCAACCGGCATTGGCAAGCTAATATCCCTC